GGCATTACACTATTTTTGGGGCATTCTTTTGCCTCCCTCAAGGATTAAGTTTAAAGCCTGTGATTAAGGTTTGCAAGACATCTTCCAAACATATTCTTCCTAGTTCTTGTAAGATGCTTCCAGCCTTTTGCCAAGAATCCAGTCATTTATTTTACTTGGATTACTTTATTATATGTACATACCATGATACAAGATTTGTATTTACCTATATATAGTATTTTCAGTAGAACCATACAAATAATTTGAATGAAAAATTTTACAAAGTGTATTAGCATCCTCAATCTACTCATATGCCTGTTGGCCCAGCATGGCTTTCAAAGCAGCATGACTTTAATACACCAAGGAGTACTGCTTCACTCAAATAATATGATTGGTGAAGCATATTTTTTTAAATGCTGCCCTTGACTAGAAGCCTTTGTCAACTATCATGCCAACTATATATGAAACCAAAAATATGTTGCTGACCCTGATATGTTAGTTGCATGAATACTTTTTATGCATCTTTTTGTTTTTCCTTCTGAATAATTTTTTGTTTATTTTTTAAATAGCAGTTTTATGTTTTTATTGGGTCTTAACATTTTTTATATTTTATTATAGAAGCCACTGGGAGTCATTTTTTCTGAGTTCAGCAGTATAAAAACACAGCAGATAGGTAGCAGGCAGGTTGGTAGGTGGATGGATCAATGGATGGATAGATGGATAGATGGATGAATAGTAAGCTACCTATGATTTGGAATTCTACATGATCCAAATCATGTAGATATATTTATATTTCCAGTTATATTTCCAGTGTTACTAGGATTTATAAAAAGCTGGCAAGCATTTGTAGCTTTGGAGTATCATCACTGTATGTTTTTACAGTGCAGCATTGCACCACTACTTTCAGCTCAGTTTACAAGTGCAGGAATGAACAACAAAACAAAATATTGCTGAAGATTTGAGGAAAACTTTTTAAAAATGGAACACTGACAATTTTTCCTGTAGATTTCATTTTAGAAATGAGACATGAATCATGAAGCACCCAGAATATTCCTACTATACCTAGAATATTATAAACTTCAGAAGGTGAAGGGCATTTGGAGGAATGCCAGAATAGTTAGAGGAGAGACAATTCACACCTTGCTTTTTGAGGCCTTTAGATAATAAAGATTTCAGTTTTAAAACTGAGCTCCTACATGGAAAGCATTGAGCTTGGAATAGAACTCTGAGTACAGATAACATACAATGGCAACATCTGTTCTGCTATTCTGAAATATTATTGTAATGGAACAGATATTGTGTCCCATTTCCTTCTTTCTTGATTAAAATTCTTCTCTTCTGTATTCTTGTGCATTGCTTGACCTAGCAATGTGTTATTTTTTTTAACAACAATCATCTAAGCTTCCCCCTTCCTTTCCTCTCCCCAAAACAGTTTCACTTAGTTGTTTTCAAACCTCCTGATTCAGTCAATACTGTTATCTCTTTCTAGTCTTCTGCTAGCTCCAAGGTCATCCGCTTATAGCTAGAAAGGCTTTGATGGAACTTAAACTTTTGATGGCCGATTGGCAAGTGGTATAAAAATTAATGGAATTAATTAGAAACATGAATAATTACAATTTTCACTATACTAACTGTGTAAATCTTCCTAGGGAAGAGCTTCGGTGTAGACCTACATAGGGAAGATGCTATACAGCTATACATGAGATGATAAAAGATCAGCATTGTTTGCTATTGTCTTTGATGTGTACAGAATTTTCAACAGCTGAAGTAATGTGAGATTCTGTTCGTTATTCACTTTATTCTGTTGAATGTGGCCATTTCTTGTTTCATTACCTTGACTGTGGATATTTCCTGTTTATATTATGCTCTGCAGTTAAAGTTGTCATTCTTTTGCTTTCCTTTATTCAATAAATCAATAAATGATATTTCAGCTTCTGCCTCATTTGTGTTCATTACATTTGAATTCATAAGCCTACTGCCCACACTTTACTGTAGAGCTACAATAACCTATCTGAAATAATAGTCTAACAGCTATATTTTGGATTAATTCCAATTACCAAGCCATCACTGATGGTAGCTTCACATATAAAGTTCAATCTGAAGGTTATTCAGTCATGAATAAACCGGAACTAAGTTGCTGAATTGAGGAGAATCAGAACTGAGTCTGGTCGAGATAGCAATATGGCAGTTCAAGAAATCAGGTATTCGACAGCAAGGGAGAATGGAGTATCTTTTCTACTACCAAATGTGATGCCTATCCAGAGCAAACTTTTAGAAAAAAAACATAGCTAGAGATCCTTGATAATGATTGAGAAACTTCATGTTCCTAAAATCTGTTTTCTCACATATACTAATATGAAGATACTGTACATTCAAACAGAACTGTAAGAATTGCATTAGTTTCCCTTTAGTTTCTAAGCTCATTCAAGGAATCAGTGCTGCTATAACAATCTGGAATTGTCTTGAAACATGAGGCCCATATTTGTGTGTGTGTGTGTGTGTGTGTGTAAGTAAATAATATTCCAGCTTCTGCCTCACTTGTGTGTTCATTACATTTGAATTCACAAGCCTACTTTTGGCTTTTGGAATCCTAAGTTTTACAAAGAATGTATGTATCATTACAACTACTGTATAATGCATAAGAATTACAAGCTCAAAGCCTGCAGGTGCAGAATTCATGTTCCAGCAAACCTTATCCACCTTATTAGAGTCCTCATATTCCAAGTAATATTGTTAGATATTGCCCCAATCATCTCAACTAAACACGCCCATGTGGAATCCAAATCTGAGCAAATAAAGTAAGTTTATCAGCAAAACGTTTAGCAAACATGCTACAGTGGTTTACAGATAGATCTTCCTGCCTGACATTTTTCAACAGGAAGCAGTGTTCCTTTAACAAGGACTGTCCTGATGAGTAATGACAGATAAATACAGTTGTTCACCACACTTATCACTACTGTACAGGCCCAAACATGAGTTCTTATGTTCAGTCATATTCACTCTTGATTTTTCAAATTGATGCTCCAGGCATGTCTTTTGCTTCTTTGTCTCCTGGAACATCTCCATAAACCAAAGAACACTCCAGGATTAGTGATCACAAAGATCTGTTTGGGAGCAGGTCATGTACAGTTCCCTTACTACCACTGAGTTCCAAAACACAATGAGGCCTGGGGACTCATGAAGTGATACAGTTGGGCAGCAAGATGGTCAGTACAACAGCAGTAACCCTAACTTGTTCCTGTTGGGAACTATCACACAAAGCTAAGTGTTAAAAGGTACAGATTCTTTTAAAAAAGATTATCCAAATAAACAAAAGTGGTATGAAAATTGCAATCCATATGAACATGTGGTTATCTATATCTGCATCTGTACTATTATAACAGGTTATGTGTTTGTATGTCTGTGTGTGTGTGTGTGTGTGTGTGTGTGTGTGTGCATATACTCGATTTTAGGGAAAAAAGTAAAATTTCTTAAATATATCTGTTTAAAGCAGTGTTGTCCAAACCTGGGCACTTTAAGATGAGTGAACGTCAACTCCCAGAATTCCCCAGCCAGCATGGCTGGCAGGG